CCCAGCAATCCCACTACTTGGCACATACCCTGAGAAAACCATAATTCAAAAAGAGACATGTACCACCGTGTTCATTGCCGCACCATTTACGATAGTCAGGGCATGGAAGCAACCTAAATGTCCATCGACAAATGAATGGATAAAGAAGATGTGGCACATATATACAGTGGAATATTACTCAGCTGTAAAAAGAAACGAAATTGAGTTATTTGTAGTGAGGTGGATGGACCTACAGTCTGTCATAAAGAGTGAAGTAAGTCAGAAAGAGAAAAACAAATACCATATGCTAACGTGTATATATGGAATCTAGAAGAATGGTACTGATGAACCTAATAGCAGGACAGGAATAAAGACGCAGATGTAGAGAATGGACTTGAGGACGCCAGGAGGGAAGGGGAAGCTGGGACGAAGTGAAAGAGTAGCGTTGACATATATACACTACCAGATGTAAAATGGACAGCTAGTGGGAAGCTGCTGCATAGCACAAGGAGATCAGCTCGGTGCTTTGTGACGACCTAGACGGGTGGGAGAGGGAGGGTGGGAGGGAGGCTCAAGAGGGAGGGGATATGGGGATATATGTATACATACAGATGATTCACTTTGTTGTACAGCAGAAACTAACACAACATTGTAGCAATTATACTCCAATAAAGATGTATAAAAAAAAGTATTAGGAATTTTGCTTTCTGAGATTAAAGAGTGAAACAGCATACATATTTTAATTTTAAAACCAACTACTTTATTACTGAGTTATGAAATGGTTACTTTCTTCTTATAGTTCCTTAACATTTGTTGCCACCTAGTGTTCTATTTTGCATATTGCATGCTAAATAAGTAGAAGCAATTACATTACATTACATTAATATTGTATTATATCATGTCATATCATATTCAGTCCTCCTTCTTTATCCATGGGGGATTGGTTCCAGGAGAGAAATCTGTGACTGGTTGAAACCTTGGATGCAGAAACTGTGAATACAGAACCTGCAGATAAGGAGGACAGACTATATGTACTTTTACAGTGGCAATGAAAACACCTGAGAATTTTATCAGAAAATAAATCTATAACATGAGAAAATTATAGTGCCATGCCTGGATTCAGTTGTGTAACTTCTTTGGATCAAATCCCTATTCTGCCACTTTCTAGGTCTGTGCTCTTGGGCAAGTTACTTAATGTCTCAAAGCCTCAGTTTCTTATCAACAGAGTGATAAAAGCCACTTAAAATTCAGTGAGAGAGTTAAATAAATTAATCCATGTAAGCCATTTAGGAAAGTATATGGCACACAGTAAGTGATCAATAAATGTTTTTGTTTTTCTTTGAAATTTGCAAGTCATTACAACTGGGAATAATTTTAAGAGGGAGAAAAAAATTAACTTGGGAATAAATGAAGGTAGAAAAGTAGAGGTTTTTGCAGTGATGTTTTGGTAAAGCTACAAGATAAAAAGGTTAACTGGGCCTTAGACCTGCCTGCCTCTATTGGAAGGGAAATTGTTGGCTTTGGCATGATGTTCCCATGAGCATATCTATAATGAGATAATCCTCTAAAGAAATTTTTTTTTTTTGCTGTACGCGGACCTCTCATTGTTGTGGCCTCTCTCGTTGTGGAGCACAGGCTCCAGACGCGTAGGCTCAGCGGCCATGGCTCACGGGCCCAGCCGCTCTGCGGCATGTGGGATCTTCCCGGTCCAGGGCACGAACCCGTGTCCCCTGCATCAGCAGGCGGACTCTCAACCACTGCGCCACCAGGGAAGCCCTGAAGAAACATTTTTTAAAAAATACCAACCCAGAAGTTTGAATAAATGTCCCCCCAAACTTTTTTTTTCCTTTTTAAGTATTCAAATTATTGTTTTCCTTAGACTACAGCAGAATCAGAAAGGCAAGAATTAGAAACCCGAAGTAAAAGGAAAATCAGAAAAGCCTTGAGCATTTGATTGCAAGCACAAATGTAGAATACAATGTTTCTTGATATGTACACTATCTTCCACAAGACAAAAACAAATTATAAATATCTTGAAAATGGGAGATAGGGATAGACTGACTGATAGGTTCCTAGTAAGGATGAGTTTATAAATTAATAATCAATAGTTTGCATTATTTGTAAATTAAGTGCCTAAAACATGTTGAAAATCATTTTTATGTTGTGGGCTATGTTTCATAAAAATGAAAGCATTTTCATAAATTTTTAAGTTTATGTTCGTAAGTGTGGACTCTGTTATTCCTCATAATTCTTTAATCCTATAATCATGAATTCTTTGATCACAAGGATATCTAGGAACCTAACCCTAGCACCTGGGAAGGACTTTTATATTTCCTAAAAGAGTTTCCCTATTTTAAGAATTGAGTTGACTAGGTACAAATTTATTTTGGAAAATGTTTTGACTCTATTAAGATAGTAATGCATACTTTTTGGTTTAATAAAACCAGGACTGGGAATATCAAGCCCAATAAATTATGTTTTGAAAAATGTGTTACTGTGGCCAACAAAGAATGACCACAAATAAATTTCCCAGAAGAGAAAAGGCCCTTTGAAGATTGAGTCTACTGGAGGGTGAGGGTTGTGTAAATCCCCAACTCCCCAAGACCTACAGCCATTTCCACCAAGAAAGGGATTGTGCTCAGGGAAAGAAAGGAGCCACGACCTTGGGAACTACTAGGAGAAATGGCAGCCGCAGATCCCAAACTAACTTGGTCACCTGTGAAGATCCATCAGTTAATTGGGTTGGCCAAACATCTTACGGAAAAACCCAAACGAACTTTTTGGTCGATAGTCTTTGAGGATTCGGTTATATGCCTTTACTGAACGATTATATGGAGTATAATCAGGGAGCACTGAGTCATCTGGGATTCTGAAAACTAGGAGAGTAAGTTTTAGAATTAAAAGACAAAGCTTTAATGGAAGGAATGTATAAATATTTATTTAGTAAACCCAAATCTTGTATATGAGGACCACTGTAAGATTAAATGACTTTTCTAATTCCAAATGTTACTTAATATTTTCTTCATTGTGACCAGACATATATATTAAAATCAAAACAAGCAAAAGCTATTTTATATGGAATCATTGGCTACAAACCGAGAGTGATCAATATCCAGTTTTTAACCTAATATTTTTATTCAGTGTTTCGTTACTGCTTTCATACTCACCATCACCTCTCAGTGGTGTGTACTCCACATAGAAGGCCATCCATGAAACCAAGGCTCCAGCAACGGCTTTGTTTAAGTGATTTACAACTTCTCCCTTGTGCTTTTTGTTTATATTATCTTAGCGTTAGACCTCTTACCTGTCAGGATCATTTACTGTTCCTTGTTCTTGAATTGATTGAATTCTTTGAATTGACTCTTTAGTTGCTCTTCATGTTAGCCTGATCTTCAGCAGTTCCTTCCACTGTTCTGTACCTAATAAGGTTGATTCCTGAGTTTTTATTCAATGAAAAACCTTCTGATTAAATGTATTAGTTTATATTCCATAATCATTTTAGTCTTTCATGATATTCATATATCAGTGAACATTATGAACATTTTTATTAGGTTCATAAAAAATATTTTACACAAGAGCAATTGTGTTCTGAAGCACAAAAATCTCTAATTCATAGTATTTCAAGCTCCAAGGGTTTAAATTATAGAAAAATTATGCTTTTCCATTTCTTTTAAAATCTAATGTAAAATTTTATTTTCCAGACATTTTCAGCTAGAATTGGACTTGGGACTAACTCCCTAGGAGAATCTTTTTTCAGGCATTTTATTTGCTTATCGGTTAATCTGGGACAGTTGCATTTTATCCTCAGTTTTTATGCCTAGGAGTATAGAACATTTCCAGAAGAGTTTGAAAGAAATTAGGGTTTAATGCTCTCATGATTAAAAGAAGAAAATTCACATATCCTAGATATTTATTGTCTATATTTATTATAGCTTTCACCAGAGGGAAGCATAGCAATGCATAGAGCTTACAGTGCTTACTGAGACTGCTTCCATCTCCATTAACAACAACTGTGACTATCATTTTATAATTACATAGTATATAAGTCATATGAGACTTGAGTTTCTTCCTCTCAATTCAGGGGAGCACAATAGAGTTTGAGTGAGGAGGATATAATGAGGAGCCACTGGGATGAGACTAAGACACCATAGTATGACTCAGATTTTCTATGTCAAGCACCTTAATTTTATTTTTTTCTTGAGATTTTGAATTTAGTTTATTATTGTGTGTTATGCATAACGATATTGTAAATATAGCCAAAAGGAAGTTAGAGAGAATTTACTTCTGGAAATTCAGAGTGGGAAATTTAAACTAAAGGACAATTATCGACTTTTAAATTGCCAGAAATGAAATATAACACTTCTCATTTTACAAAACTAGGTAGTAAATGCTGTTTTGAGTCTTTCCTTATCTAAACTTGATTATTACCTAGTTTTTACTTTAGTTATGTGTGTAAGGAGAGTGAACCAAATCTTATCGTACTTATATTTAAGGAAGCTCAGTTATTATATAAACAGTAAATGCCTGTAATGTAATGATAAATACATCTCATCTTAAAATTTTGATCTGTTTATCATTTAAAGTACAAATAATTTTTAACCATGTCGAGATGAAAAATCAGTTAAATTAGATACTTATATATTTCTTGTAGTATAAACATGATATATAATTGAAAATACTAGAACACTTGGTTTTTCTGATTCCCTTTTATAAAATTCAGACTCCTCTGTGGCCCTTATCAAGGTTTGTTACCTGAATTTCTTAGTTGATTAGTTAATATAGCCTTAATTGTGCAAACTGAAATATGTGAATAAATACAACATTTGAATACATGTAACATTTGAATACATGTAACATATGAATCAGTAAGTGGTGTTGACAAACAAATATAAAAATATTCTTTACTTTGACTTTACAGTGAGTTGTAACTATTTTAAATAAAATCAAAGCTTAATTGTCTTATTTCCCTCTCATTTCTTCTAAATTCTAAGGTCCCATTTCACTCTGTCTTATTCTGGCAGGCTTTAATCCAGTGCGAACAGTTGAAGAATGAACTGGAGAGGCAGACAGAGCGACTTGAGAAAGAACTCACATCTCAGCGAGAAAAAAGAGCCTTTGAGAAAGAGATGATGAAAAGAGAAATAACAAAAGAAAGAGAGGACATGGGCTCAAAGGTATTTAAAGGGTTCAATTTGTTATCGACATTGCAGAAGAAATGTTTGTGGTGATATAATTGATGAGTCTGCAGGTTGCAATTCTTGAATGATCTTTATTTAAAAATTTTTTTAATATCTTTATTGAAGTATAATTGCTTTACAATGTTGTGTTAGTTTCTGTTGTACAACAAAGTGAATCAGCTATAAGTATACATATATCCCCATATCACCTCCCTCTTGAGCCTCCCTTGAATGATCTTACATGTTTAAACCATTTAAGTAGTCAATTTGCTTATAACTTAGAGTTCATAAAAATTTTCTATTCTTCAATGTGTTTCTCAATAAAAGTTATATTCTCTGACCTTTCCAAAGAAAATAATCAATTAGATTTCATGATAGGAAAATGTGAAATTTACTCTAATCCTGCCATTCTGTTTGATTCCCTTTCTGTTTGTCAGAGGAGAGCAGGTGCTCTGCAGATATCCAGATTTTATTTCAAGCTTGGTTAAATCAAGGAGAGATGACTCCCCCATTTCATCCCTCACTCCTAAATTAGCCTTTAAGAAGGTAAAACACTTGTAAGAAACCAAGTAACCAAAACAAAAAGTGATGGTATACTCTGTACAAAATAGGTTCTAGCAAATTACATGATGAATAATGACTATAACCAGATGAATACATGGAAGAGAGAAATTAGAGTCAAAGGGAACAGATAACATGAGATGGGCAGTGTTTGAAAAAGAGTAACAAGCTAGAATACAGAGTTTAGTGGAACCTAGCTTTAAAGTTGCTACAGTTGAATAAAATTGAGCAAGATGTGGTCCCTCAAGTAACCCAAACAATGGTTACATGTTCTGTTTTTTCAAAGCAGGCTCACAGCTTATACCTACATGCTGTCTTAAACATGTGGTAGTTAACTCATTCAGCAAGTATCTACTGAGTATCTGCCGGGTGCAAGGCAGTGTGTAAGCCTAAGGCTATATAAAGAGAAAACTCACAAATTCTGCCCAATGAGTTTTAAGTCTTACCTTACCTGAGCCAAGATAAACTCCCTCATTTTCTTATCCTTTTTAAAAAAATTGTGCCTGTTAAAACCTACTTACAGGTCAGTCTAGTTATCTACATTCTCTGACCTGGACTGGTGATCTCAGCTAGGGAAGAAAAATCCCATAATCTTGCAGATGACACCACCATACACTTATGGTTCAATGTCCACCATTCTGTTGGTGCTTTCTAGCAGTCCTCCTATGCATTCCTCTCTCTCCTGTTCATTCAGGATTCAACAGATATTAATTGGAGGTCCTGGGAATGTGGTAGTCACAGGACCAATGCAGTTACGTCATGAAGTTTATAGACTTGTGGGAGAGGTAGACATTAAACACATACTTCCACAAATGAGTTTTTACCACTATGATAAAGGCATGAAGGTACGGTATAGGGTACCATGAGAATGTGTAACAGGCAAATATAACTTAGTCTGGGCAGTCATGGAAGACTTTCCTAAGAAAGAGGTTTTGCAAATGAGGCTCAAAAGAGTTGAGTAGGAGCGGTCAGGTGAAGAGTTGAGGGGAAGAGTTTCAGACCCAGGAAAACAACACTCCCAAGGCTCTGAAGCTAGAAAGCATCATACTTTCTAGGAATTTAGAGAGGGCTCAGGTGACTGGAGCATAGGAAGTAAGGGCCAGAGTAGTGGAAGATGAGTTTGGAGAAGTATGCAAGGACCAAATCATGAATGGTCTTAAAATCCATGTGAAAGGTTTTAAATGTTATCCAAAAGTGAAGGGAAACCATTGAATGGCAGTAAATTGGGCAGTGTCGTGATCCCATTTATATTTGAGAAAAATCACCTGTCAATAGATTTGAAGCAGGACCAGAATAAACCCCTGGAGATCAGGTGGGAGGTAATTATAGTAGTCTAGGTGGGAAGTGTTGGTATCTAAGACACATTTTTCAAGGACTATTTCAAATCAGTTTTATTCCCCTCAAATTCTCTACCATACCACCTCTCCCCTCATTCTCGGCAGAGAGCCTTACTTCCCTAACAAAGAAAGTTGACAGCCATTAGATGGTAATCACCTTATTTATCCCCCCCTACCTCTGCCTAAAGTAAAATTTCACCTGTACTGCAACCGTGTCAGAATGGGAGTGGCTTAATCCTAATCCTTTCCTCGTGCTCTGAATCCCATCCTCTTCCACCACCTCAGTGACCTGTTTCCATTAGTTCCCCACTCTCTTCTGAATCTTCAACCTTTGTCCTTCACTATAGCCTTTTCCTCATCACCAGGAAAATAGTCTCAAACTTCTCTCACCTGTTGAAAGAAACTAATCTTTCTTCTATCCAGTCATTCTCAATCTTGGCTACACAGAAGTTCCAAAACTCTCATTGCCCAATCTGCATCCCAAACGAATTATGGGGGAATATCTGAGGGTAGGATCTAGGGGTCAGTATTTTAAAAAATTGTCCAGGTGATTCCAATGTGTGGCCAAGGCTGGAAGCCACCTTAGTAATTCCATATCCCTCTTTACTCTTCCCCTTAATAGTCAAGTTTCTTGAAAGATTTGTCCATACATGTTATCTTCATTTTCTTACCGCTCATTCACTCTTCAGCCCACTACATTTCAGCTTCTGTGCCCATAGCCAATGAAATTACTATTGCTGTGTTCACTGGAGACCTCCTTGTGCTATTTTTAGTGAATATTTTTTCATTCTTATTCTCCTTAAAAGGTTCTGTTTCTTTGATTTCTCTGAATCATATTCTTTTTTTTCTGCTCTACACGGGCCTCTCACCGTTGTGGCCTCTTCCGTTGCGGAGCACAGGCTCCGGACGCGCAGGCTCAGCGGCCATGGCTCACGGGACCAGCCGCTCCGCGGCACGTGGGATCCTCCCAGACCGGGGCATGAACTCGCGTCCCCTGCATCGGCAGGCGGACTCTCAACCACTGCGCCACCAGGGAAACCCTGAATCATATTCTTGTTTTGGGAGAATGATGATGTGTGCCTTTTAGGTTACTCTGAGTTTAAGCTGCCTTTGAGATAATGAAGGAGACACATCCAGAAAGCACCTTGATAGGAGGTTCTAGAGTTTAGCAGAGAGCTTTAGATTTAGATGTCTTTAGCAGTACTGTGGCTTTAATTTCATATGTATGGTATTGATTCCTAAATCTTTAGCTCTCTAGTGAGCCCCCAAACCAGCTGCACTTCCCATCTTCCCTCTCATAGTAGAACTACTATTCATTCATCCATTTGCCCAACTCAGAAATCTTGCTGTCATCCTTGTTTCCTCCTTCTCCCTCACCCTGTACATCAAGTCACCAAGTTCTAGAGTTTCAGGCCCTTACCGATTTTACATTGCCTTGTCTCTCCATCCCACTGCTCTCCATGTCTCACCCTTGGGTGATTCCTACAGCCCCAAATGGTAGAAGCCCCTTGCTTCTAGTCTCACCTCCTTATCTGTTCTCTTACCCAAAGATCCAAGGATGATCTTCCTAAAATGAACACGTCAATATGTCAGTCTCTTGCTTTAAAATCCTTTCTTGTCTCTCTATAACCCGATCTTTTACTATAGCATAAAGATTGTACATTTTTTTCCCTCTCTTTGGTTCTCCAGTCTCATCTCCCTTCTCTTTTCTTCCTTGTATTACCACCATACCGATCTACTTGCACTTCCTCAAATGTGCAAACATGCCAGTCTGCCATACTGTGTTTTCATTTCAGGATTTTTCAGGGCTTTGCCCCTCCCCTCCCATCCCCACACCCCCCACCTCACCCCCATTGCCTAGAGGAATCTTCCTCTGACCTCTCTGACTGATCCTTCAGAGTTCTCGATACCACCTCTTCTCACAGTCTCCCAATGATAAATTTTTGGGAGCCCCTCCTATGGGCTTCAATAACTCAATGTATTGCAAAGTCTTATTGAATTATCTCCCCTAATTTACTATGATTCCCTTGCATATATGGTTTGTTAACATCCTTATTGCCTTATGGCCACATTCCTCCCACATAAAATGTGTTCAGTATATATTTATTGAATGAATACAAGGGGAATACAAATGGAAGGAAGAAGGCTCCATGCCATTGGAAAGGCATGACTAAAATACTGAGAGTTCAGAGGATCAGAACAGATTTCTGTCTGCAAGAGATCATGGACCACTTGGTGGAGAAGGTGGCATTTTAACTGAGCTTCAAGAAAACAGGCAGGATTTAGAAATGCAGAGTGTGGGGGAGATGTACCAACATGAGTAAGGTATGGAGGGAGGTAAAGTTGCAAGCTGAGCTTTGAGAGAGAGAATGAATGGCATCAAGAGCAAAGATCAGCTACTGTTCATGCCTAGGAGACTTTTTTTCTGGGTTGTTTAGTGGAAACTTTTGCCTTGCTGAGTAGTTCTATTATGTAAAAATATGTTGATGAGAATTCCTGATAAGAAGAAAAAAAGGAAGTCTGAACTGTGCCAGGGAATATTCCAGGTGCTTTTATATATAACTTTCTTAAACTGATAATTATTTCATGAATGAAAGTGTTAACAGAAATACAATGCATTTCTTTTTTTTTAATTTATTTATTCATTTATTTATTTTTGGCTGCATTGGGTCTTCATTGCTGCACGCGGGCTTTCTCTAGTTGTGACGAGCGGGGGCTACTCTTTGTTGCGGTGCGTGGGCTTCTCATTGGCACTTCTCAAGTGCCTTCTCTTGTTGCGGAGCACAGGCTCTAGGCACGTGGGCTTCAGTAGTTGTGGCACGCGGGCTCAGTAGTTGTGACTCGCGGGCTCTAGAGTGCCGGCTCAGTAGTTATGGCTCATGGGCTTAGTTGCTCCGCGGCATGTGGGATATTCCCCCACCAGGGATCGAACCATGTCCCCTGCACTGGCAGGCAGATTCTTAACCACTGTGCCACCAGGGAAGTCCTACAATGCATTTCTGAGTCTGAGTCCTTTTTTTCTTTTTGACTCCATTAAGCCTTATTTGACATTTAATCTGAAGATCCTGCCCTAAATAAAGATGTATGAATAAAGAGCTGAAAGTGATCCTAGCACTGAAGCAAGTACTCTCACAGAAAATGGCAGAAAGAAGCTCTGAAGTAAAAGGATTTAGTGTTGAATCCAAATTGACCTTTATGTGACCTTGAACAATTCATTTAACCTCTCCAAATTTCAGAGTAGTAGATCCTTGGTTGATCTACTCAAGGAATTGATAGGATTAAATGAGATAATGTTTTGAAAGTACCTAATATAATACCTGGCTTAGGTTAGACCATTTAACAAATTTTAGCTTGTGGTTATTATTCTTACTCTAGTGAAAGAGAGAATTAGCTCTATTGGGTAGATTTCTTGGACCTTTGTGTTAGTAAAAGCAGACAAATTTTAATATAAAGTCCAGCTTTACTTTTTATTTATTAGCTTGAAATGAACTTGGCAACATTACTTAAGTTTCAACTGAAAGTTAATCCAATACATGCCTTTCCAAAGGGAATTAAAAGAGAAAATTATCACACTGCTTAGCACAGGAAGTTAATTTAATAGGGTGTCTGAACAATTAATCATAACGTTGTAACTTCTCATGGTTAGTGCTGGAGCAGGTGTCCCTGCTTTCCTAGTGGTAGAAATGCTCATGAGACTTGTAGATTTTCTTTCCTTCTATTTATTATTTTTCTTCTTTCCTTTCTTCTTACTGCTTAAAAATTTCATTTGTGTGGGAAGCTCTAGGAGAGCAGATGCCTTCTACCTAGACAGATTTTGAATCATTCCCCCATGAACAGTTCTTGCTGTGAGTTTGCCTGTTGGCATCAGTAATGGTCTTTGGTTGCACTGAACCGCTAAGTTTGTTCGTTCAATCAGTCCTTCAATCATCTATTTATTGAATGCCCCCTGTGGTTTGTGTATTTTCTCATTTGGTTCCCTTGATAATAGCCCATTGCTAGAATCCTTAATTCTTGTACCTTTTTTTATGAGGAATGCCACTTTATACCACGTTCAGTGCACTAGGGACTGCTTTAGTGTAGAGATTTCTATCAAGCTCTCCCATCCTGGGTGTCCTTGTCTCTTGCTTGCCCCTGTCAAAGTTTAAAGGACTTATCTGATGTCAACACCCTGGACATCCAGCAGTGTTGCAGCTGTCTGTGTTACTTCTGCCCCTGCAACAGATGTGGATGGAGAAGCTCCTGCAGTGTAATGTTGACTTCCAGATGGTGGGCATGGAGAAAAAGAAGGTGTGACAACAGGAGGGGAGGCCTTGAGAAGTGGGTGACAGAAGGGAGCAGACAGGTAGTGGGCAGAGGAATGAAGTGATGGGTGGCAGAGGGAAAGAATCATATGGAAGGTGTATGATTTGTTACATGCTATAGAAACTGACTCAGAATTTACCATTAGCAAAATAAATGTCTGCCCATTTACTTCAAAAAAACCACACAATATTAATATGTTTACCATAGATCCACATAAATAAGTAATATATGGTTTTTAGTAGCTGGTAATTAAAGTTTGTTATTGTTGTATGGTTCCAGAAAAGCTATAATTACATATTCATAATATGCTTACTCACGAACTTGAAGTTTTAAATTAAGAAAATTCAATTAATATTTTTGATTTGTTACATTTAACTTCTTTTGACATTTAATTTTTGTTTCAGATTGTAATCTGCATAAGGATAGTTTGTAGCTTGGTATTAGTAAAAGTAATTTTATGTGCAAATTAGATTTGTAGCCAGTCTCTTGATGAAAGAAGGACATGTAAACAGCCATAAGTTAAATGTACAATTCTCCGCAATCCCCAGAAATGTTAATTAATACATCTACCGTCTAAATTAGAAAGTAGCTACTGGGGCTCATTATTTTCATGTTGTCAATTTTAATTAGTTGACAAAGGTAATCTTGATTTTTATTACAAAATTTTAGTTATTGATTTCAGTTGTAAAACTGAATTCACACCCATGTTAGTGTACAATGACAGATTTCAAATATTATTTCAAATTTGTTATCAGTTTTTATTTTAGCTGATTAAAAACTGATAGCTATCCCATATGTTTTGATCTGGGGCAAGGTAGCATTTCTTCATCACTTTAAAACTGCTAATACAAATGAGAAATTAATAGCCTAGAAAAGTTTGACCTACTGGAGCAGAGTAAAATCTAATTGCAAACCAAAAGCTATAAAGGTTAAATCTAAGGTCTAGAAAACATTTCTGACCCTGGGAAGAAAAACTAAGAACCTGATATCCGTATAGTCCCTCCGAAAAGCCATTTATTCTACTGATTCATTCATTCATCAAATGTTAAACATATACCTGTTGAGGAATATGCTCTTGAGGAACTTCTAGTCTAATGAGGAAACAGACAACAAAAAACAGTGTGATGTGTTAAGTACTGTGCATGTAAATAATTTTAGTTGAGAAATAATATATCAAGAAAATTTGAAATATATTTTAGCATGGAGGATAAATTCAGCACCTTTATTCTTGTGTCTACCATAGTACAAAATTTCTAAAATACTTCGTATTTTTAAAAAATACTATTTTATATTCTTATTGAATTTTTCAGATATTAGGCATATCTTTATAAGGTGGTTAGAAATTCTTAAAGGACATAAAACTTTGGTATTCTTACAGGGTTAGTATAGCATATGGAAGTTTCTTAATATCTGCTGATTGATTCTATTTTTAATATTTAAAAAGCATGGTGATTATAGTTAACAGTACTGTACTGTGTATTTGAAAGTTGCTAAGAGAGCAAATCTTAAAAGTTCTCACCACCAGAAAAAAAAGAAAATTACGTGAGGTGATAGTCAAGGGAGATGAATTGAGAATGCAGAGCAATGGAGATACCCAATCCACAGAGAAATGACTTACAGAGAGAGCCCAGTGGCCATGCTGAGACTCTATTAATTCAAGATATTTAAAATATTTTTGTCAAATGACATTATCACTTAGGACTTTTTTTCCTCGTACAGACGTTGACCCTATCTCAGAGTATTGCCCAACTGGAGGCTCAGGTGGAAAAGATTACAAGAGAGAAAATTTCAGCTGTTAATCAACTAGAGGAAATTCAAAACCAGCTTTCTTCCCGGGAAATGGATGTCACAAAGGTACAAAGAGAGAGTTTAGTTTACTAATTACTTAAATATTTTAGTTGAAAATTTTTTCCTAGTGTTAAAAGCTCAAAAAGAAGTCTGGGGTATAAAAATTTTGTTATTTCAAGATAATAAAGGTCCACATAATGGTCATTCAGCAAACATTTACTTATTATCAGCAGGCCCTTTTCTGGGTGCTGCAAATACAAAGATGAATTAGACACAAATAATGTCCTCAAAGAGCTTAAGTTGCTGAGACAGAACTGTAAATTAACAAGTTTTATTACTTTAATTATTGAATACCTGATAAAACTTGTGCATCTGAATTAGTCAACTAGGAGTAATTTTTTGCATAAGTTTGGTCTTCACAATAATACTAAAAGACATGTATTTATTTATAACATGAAAAGTGTGCTTAACGTAATTCTCCATCTCTCATTCTTTCAGACCTGTTCTCTAAAATCAAGATTCTAATACTACAACTTCTTATTCTGTTGGTCCTTAAATTTATACTTTACACTGTGGTATCACTGTGCCTGCACTATGGGCATCACAAACTTGTGAACCAAGAACTAAAATGCTTAATGATCTTAACTGGCTAAGGTACATGTTTAAGAAACACTAGAAGTCTGTGTAGATTTCAGTAATCATTGCTTTAAAACTAAGTCACTAAATATGGACACGCATGATGTAATAAATTAAATCAATTTATTTTTCATCAGTACATACACAGATAATTTTATTAAAATGCATACCCATTTCATACTGCATTTTACTTCTCAACATATTTTCCTAAATTTGGACACATTTTTAATGCCATTATTGTTTTATAACTCAGTAATTTAAATTAACTTTAATATATATTAGGAAAGGAAGCCTATTTTTTCTTTTTTTTTCCTTGAATTTATATAGTTCTTCATTTGCTTTCTAAAATTCAAGCTAGCTAATGTAGAAGCTTAAAATATCATATTTGCCAATATAATTGATGTTTGTGTGGAGGTAGGGGTAGAAGTAAGGGAACTGGTGCAGAGAGATGGAAATGGTTAACCTGGATTAATAGGTGAAAGGTATGATGAGGATTTTCAGTTCATTATAAGGAGAGAACTTTCTGTTGAAATTTGGTACAGTAAAGAATGATTACTTGTCTTTAGAACTGTCCAAAAGGACTCAAGCATCAGAGGAGTGCCTTAAGCCTGCTTCCAACCCTGGGATAATATAATTCTAGTTAAATTTAATTTGTTCATTTATTTTAGATGAAATTTAAGTGTTACAGATAAACTTAGCAAATGCATTTTAAACTGAAATTAGTGAGGCAAGGAAACTTTAAAAATAAAATTAAGGGGTACAATCATTTTAAACAGGACCTAATGCTTAGATATTTATTATGTATAATAATTTTGTACTGGTGTTGGGTTTTAAACACCATAGTTGTATAACTGTTATCTTCTGGTATTATAATTGGGGTCTTTAAATTTTATTCCTATATGTAAATCAAATAGATTGGAATAGTGAAGAAAGTCAATTAGGGCTCCTCTAATTTTTTTCTGTAATTCTTAATTTTTAAATTTTATTTAGCTTTAGTAACTTTTTGTGAATTAGTAATATTTTTGAAAGGGGAAGGATCAACTCTTGCACATTGAAGGTATTTGAATTTCAGATACAATTTGTAGTAATTTTATTCTTTTTTTAGCTTTCTGAGGGTCACTGGGGAGAAACTTACTGACTTTTTCTTCTGTCTTGTCACTATAATTTTTGAACACAGATTAGTTTATTTTTAACGTATTTTTTATTTGAACATAAGAAATGCATATAGGTTTTATAAGATTCTAATACTTCAATAATGATGAAACTAATTTCTAAAATTCTAATGATCATTTTTGGAGAACTACCAAAATTGCGAAGTCTCAAACAAGTATAGCCATTAGATGATACATGATTTTTAAAAACTTGTATTTGTAACTTAGAAGCTGACTTAGCAGATGTTTGTATTACTTGATCTCTCTACAAGTTCTCAGTTATCTCAAAAGTTAATAACTTCTTTATTTAGATTTATCTGCTAGTTGTATTTTCCAAATGTATTTATCTGTCTGTAGATGCCCTGGATTGAAAAAAAAGATTACATAAAGAATGATACACAATTTTAAGATACTGAGTGTGTTTATTATTTAACAATATGTTAAAGTCATTTCACTTACATGTATATTTTCCTTTTATGTTGAATGCCATAGCTATTTTAAAAGCAGAGTGGGCTTAGTTGCAGTCTATGACTTTTAACTTTCTTAATTTAAATACATAGTATTGTGCATGGTAAGATTGACATAATCTGCAAAGCCTACGGTAAATACCAGCTGGGTAATACTCTACTCATAAATATTGATAATATAGTCTATTAGCAGAGAGAAAAATACCTTTATAAATTTCCTTAAATAAAAGCCTAACTGATAACGAGTTTAAAGGAAAGTTTTTAATATAGAGTATCTATATAACCATGACAATTTGAATGAATAATGACATAGCTTAATATTTTAATTACTAATTTTACCTAGTTAAAAGCAAGATGATAGTGCATTTTAGATAATATGCAATTGAAACTATTATTTTACATGAAAAATCTTGTATATATCATTTAAATTCCCTGGTTGTGCATTTCTTTATCTGTCATTTGAAATTGTAAGACTCAATAACATCTGATATTGCCTCCACATCTTAACAGAATATATTGAATATGCTAATAGAAAATGCCATTCTTAGAAAAGTTCTATTGTGTTTTATTTATATGACCTCTAGGGGGCACCAAAAGATCTAATTGCAGGCCTTGCCTGGTAGATTCCAGCAGCTATTGATCTAGTTTTTATAATCTAACAGGTGTGTGGAGAAATGCGCTATCAATTGAATAAAACCAAAATGGAGAAGGATGAGGCAGAAAAGGAGCACAGAGAGTACAGAACAAAAACTAAAAGGGATCTTGAAATTAAAGATCAGGTAAGATTTGATACAAGCGTAACTGCAGCAATTAAAGACATAACTAATGTTTTTTTCTGAAATGGTTATGGTTTTATTCCTAAGTCATTCATTTCTATTATATTGTTTCTAACTAATGGAATGATCCAATTTATACTGTTAAAAGAATTTCATCTACAGTTGCCTAAAATTATCACCTTTCACATGAAATTGTGCGAATACAACTGCATGCATATGAAATTACAATCTGACAGGTCATAAATATACATTTGGATATGTGTATCTATTACTTACAAAAGTAAAAGAAAATGTTCTAATGTTCATTTTGAACCTAAAATATATGTACATAAAGTTCTTTAAAGATGCCAACTTGAATCCAATTTTAAGTGAAAAAGTTTAAAATTTGTGAGATGAGATGAGTTGATATGTAAATATGTCAATCAAATTGATCGTTGGCAGAGTGAAACCAGTTTTAACTAAGATAACCATGAATACGTTTGCTCAGGAAACCTAAATACAGTAAAATTGGAAATGTTAGGAAAAAAACTGCTACTTACTTCAGTTTCAGTTTGAACAGATGTTTTACATTACATCTTTGTTGAGATCATGTAGATACTTCAATTTTAATTGACAACATGGATAAAGTTTTTAGAGAGGCAGTTCTAATAGGCTGACTTTTGATTTTCTAATTTTGTTATAGTACAAAACATTGAACGCTTTCATTCTTTTTATTCAGTGAAAGCAGGTTGAGAAATCTATTCAATTAAAATAAGACTGAGTTTTCAGTGTCATTATTTTAAAGAAATCACTATGGTTTAAAAGTGGGTAGTCCTAAATAAATTTTTTTGAAATATATTTCTAGTTCAACACTTTTTACCGTATTTTCCAACATATCTCCCTTTCAGCCCAATCAACTCTTCTATGCAAATGATGCAAAGACAATTGGGAAAAGTATTGAAAATGAAAGTGATAATGAAATTTAGTACAAAAAGTTTTTCAAGTTGTAGCTGAAATCCCTGGCATTAAATTAAAATCTAAACAACCAAAATCAAATTATGCTTTTGTATCACTATATTCAAAGTGTTCTAAAGAGTTTTAAATTCTCAGAAGAATTTTCCTTGTTAACATGTACAAATAATGAAACTGTTGATATTTCATTCCATCCAGTTGGGGGCGTGCCTGATAGTGGAATTAAAAATCCTTTCTATCAGGAACTGAAGATCTAGGATTACTAACCAACACAGAACTTTCCTTTTCTGATATATTATACGACTTTTTAAAAAAAGTATCATATTGGCATGCTTACGCATTATTATATACCTTTTCTGTTATTCTGTAGCATCTGCCAGCATAACATTTTGGACTAACTGGAAAAATACAGTAAGGAAGAGTCTCTGAGTTATTTAAGAATTACATTTTAATATTCTAGGAGAAAGAACACTATAGGAATAATAAGATTATAATATCCCTTATAAATGAATAACGTGTGTAGAAGTATTTGTAATATTTGTCTTTTAGTGCTATATCTCATTTTAATTAACCACTAATGAGGTGGAGGCTAAAGTTGCAGGATTATAAAAGGAGCAGTTTTCATTTGTAAATATTTCCTGCTAAATAGGGAAACACTGACAGTTTTTATAATGATTTTAGTATTATTTTTAGTTAGAGATGTGCCTTTTTAGGATGTCAGAGATGTGATGTGCTTATTAGTATTTTTTCTTGGACATAATTTGAGGAAATCTTATAGGTACTCCTTGTAACTATTTTGTATTGAATAGACAGTTTCAAAAAAAAAGAAAGTAGTGGTGTCTCATTCCATTGATGATCTGGAGTAGCAAAGCAGCAATTGTTCTTTGGTCTTTCAGCCATGACCTGACCTTCTGTCTTTATGACTGAAGAGCTACTTTGCTTGGCCACCATCTGCACTCAAGAGAGAAATTTACATTTAACTTTTAAAAGCTGGGCATGTTGAATGTTTATCTGAAGTACCTATAATAATATAAAGCATATTTTACTTTTAAAGTGTTACATATCATGCAATTCAGAATAACAAGAAGGCTATCTCTATGTTTACAAAAAAGGGGGTTCCTTGTAAAATATATAAATATTTTATTTATATTTTTGTTAATCTGGCTTCTTACATTTTTAAAGTAGATGGGAATCTGTCAGATTGGAATGTGGTGAGAACAAGAGCTTTTTGATGTATACAAAAGAGGGCAAATGGTTGACCACCCAGATCATTTTCCTTGTGACCCAAGCCTTGACTCTGGCATAATTAGAAGGAAAGGTTAGGAGAGTAACAATGGCAATCTCTTGCTCCCATTTTCTCCTTTTCTTTTTTTTTTTTTTTTTATTGTGTTAGGAACTGATGGGCAGATTATCCTTCCCATCAACTCCTTTGTATCTCTTCAGTTTAGAGAGCTCCTGTCAGCCTCAGAGGATGCTTCTCGCACTAAAAAAAAAAAAAAAAAGACATTTGGTATGAAGGAGAATGAAAAATCTGTGCCCTGATTTTTATTAGAAATTTTTTGTAGACAACAGTTATACATATACACACACTCCATTATGGGAATTTAAAGACATATATGAAGATAAAGAGACTATTATAATGAATTCCCACATCTCCATCACCTAGGCCCGTCATTTTGCCAATCCTATTCCATCTACCTCACATTTTTTTCTCTCCTTCATCTTCACCTTCATTGTCATCTTCATCTTCTTTGTCATCTTTGTCATCCTTTTCTTCTCCATCTTCTCTTCCTCTTCCTCTTCTGTCTTCCCTCTCTTCTGCTTTTGCTGAAGTATGTAAAGCAGATCTCAGACATTGTGTTATTACCCATAAATGCCTCAGTGTGCATCTACGAAGGATTTTTTTCACAATCACTATGTCATCATCATACCTAAAAATATTAATAATTCTTTAATATCCTATAATGCCCAACCCATATTCAAATACCATCTCTACAGTGTTTGTTTTACAGTTAGTTTATTCAAATCAGGGAAACCCACGTTTTTGTATGTTAGAATGTTATGGTGTTACCTTCTTTAATAGGAAATAAAGGGAAATCTCAGAAAAGTTTCAACTTTCTTTGTTGTTATCAATAAATTTCTTGCATAATGTTTTGATTGTGCTTTATATTTATAGGGTACCTCATCACCATTCTAAGGAAATGAGTTAATCCTGTAGCAAACTGTCTGAAGGAAATGGCTACCTTGCAGCAACCCCAATCATCATATTCTGAAAGGAGGCCCTTAGTCTGAAATCCAAAATACATAATTAATTTCAGAGCCTTACATTTAACATTTAGGAAGGCTGCAGGAAACCTGTTATTACCCTGGTGATATGAAGGTTAGCTGACTCTGAAATGAGTGATGCATAAGTGGAATTTTCTTTATTAGCTTCCATTTTGGTAGATGAGTCTCAGAAGATGATTCTTTACAGCCCCTAATCTTTGATCAGGGCCTAGTACCAAATGAAAACACAGGGCCCTTTGTTCAAAAAGCAGGAAAAAAGTGATGTTAAAGGTACTGAATTACAAAACGTTTTCCTTTATCCTGCAGGCAGCCTTTCCTCTCTCTCTCTCTCTCCCCTTCTCCCTCTTCCTCCCTCCCTCTGAATGTCGTGGTGTTTTTATTTGCTATTTAATGTTGGACTCCCTCCAGCACAGGGATATTCATGGTGGGGGGAACGCAGACCCCCATAGGTGCCCCATGACTGAGTGTACAGATGAATCCATGGTTTCTAGGTTCTCCATGTCACTAGCCACAGAACCCATACACCATGCCCTGGTGGGGAGGGGAGAGAGTCAGTCTTCTCCATCCCAAGGTGGTCAGCTGGGCAGCCCCCTAGAGACTGCAGCCTCCACACAGGGAGACACTTGGTACAGGGGTCAGAGTGGGCAGAGGCTCCATGCTGAGTCCGTTGAGTGTGCTGTAGTGCTTCCAGGCGGGAGGAGGGATAGTCAACTCCATGTCCTGGGGTGTACACACTCAACCCAACCTTTCCCAGGCTCACATCCAGGCTCCTGCCAGAGGTAAAGGATAACGGCAGAACGAATGCCTCCCCCTAACACTGCCATGACCTGGTCCCACCCAACATGGAGAGCAGCAAGGTCCCAAGGCAGGGGCCAGGAAGAGGAAGCTAGAAGGGAACAAGTGTCCAAGAAGTGCCCCAGGGCTGCCATGAGTCAGTGGAGAGACAAGACCACAGATGTGAGTGGGGCTTCCATTGTACCATCAGACTTCACCTATAAAACCACAAATTCCAATATAAAATCATTAAGAATTTTAAGACGTTGACCACAGAGCATTAAACTGCAAGTTCAGGGCCCTTCTAAACACAGGGCCCTGTATGAGCACACTGATCACATGCCCAAGAAGCCACCATGGCTATGGGGATAGACAGACAGAGATTTGGTGTGCTAACGCACACATATATACTCCTACTTACATATGCAGATATGAGTGTGTGTTTAACATGCGCAGGTGTCCTGTATCTGTAAAAGAAGGCTGGCCAGCTACAGAGTATGGGCCAAATCTGACCTGCAGTCTGTTTTTACAAATAAAGTTGTAGAAGAGGATGGCAACACTCATTTGTTGATGTATTGTCTATGGCTGCTTTCCTGCTACAAAGGCAGAGCTGAGAAGTTGTGGCAGAGACCCCGTAGCCCACCATGACTGAAATACTATCTGAGCCTTTAGAGAAAAATCTTGCCAACCCCTGCCCTGAGTATAAAGATAAAACTTTGTTTCCCCTGCCCTGCTAGAGTGTGGAGTTCTGAGATTGAAGACTTATCAATCTTAAATTATAACTTAATGGTTTTAGAGTATTTTGAAATACAGAAAATGTGCCTGATCCCTGGTCTCTTAATCATCTAATGGCATCAGCAGGTGAATATATGATTGGTTTTAGTCTTATTATTATTAGTGGCACATGGCTTAAAAACTGGCTTGGATGAGAATACACATATACATAAATAAATTGTTTTATATTACAACATTTTTAGGTTGGTTCAATTTCT